GGGTGAGAAAGGCAAAGATGGCTCCCATGATATAGACAGTTTTGTCCTGTGAAGTTTGAAATTATTTGTAAGTTGTTGGCTAATTTCATTTGGACGAGCTCTTATTAAGCTAGCTAATGGCCTGGATTTGTTGCAGAATGAAGGAAAAAAAATTCAAGCTTAACAAAATATGTACTATATGGTGAACAGTTTATAAAGTAATAGGTTATTATCAGGATGAAGGGAGATTTTTAGTTCTGGCATTTGTCTAGGCATGTAGTTGAAGTTTCTAAAACAAGTTCCTTGGGAAAAATTGCTCTGTCTAAGTTGTGCTCGAAAATTTGAGAGTACTACAAGCTTTACTATATATATGTGCATATACGTTCTCCATTGGCAGTATTTATGAAGCCTCCATGTCAGTGAATTTGACTTATATTCCACAATGTGCTCTAAAATTTGCTCACTTTCTAATCATGGTGTCACTCTTTCACCACCCTTAAGGACTCAAAGCCTTTTTCTTAGATTATGTTCCATTTAGAAAACAAATGATATAGGTAAACTGGCAGGGCGGTCAGTCAACGATTATGCTTTCATCAATCATGTAGTGAATGATTACATACTTCAAATGTCTTATCTGGTCAAATATCAGTGTATTAATATCATTATTTAGTATAATTATTATGCTAGCAGTCTAGGACTACATTTTTAGTGTTTTTCTGGATTTGATTGGTCAAGACTCAACGTAAGTTTTGCAGCTCAAGTGGTACTGTGCTACTAGGTATCCAAAAGTTGTCAATATTCTTAAGAGCTCATATGAATCACCTCTTTCCTTGCTGGACTAAAATTAGGAGAATACTGATGTTATGAAACTAGCTTTGCTGGAAGCATCCATGGCAGATGGAAGCAATTTGTACTTGAACTATGTATGCCCAAATTGGTAAAGTAAATTTGCATGAGAACCTGATTGCTAATCCTCGGTTAAGCATATTATATTTGAAACTTTAGGAGAGGTTCCTGTTTACTGCCCATTTTAGAGAGGGTTTTGTGGTGAGGTGAGGGGGGATGCTGAATATGTTGGTCTTGTGGGATTGTTTGATATGTTGAGCATTCACCACTTTACTCTCTCTGAACAGGTTTAGTCCTTGACCCTGCAAAATGTGGTGGTCTTCCTTTGGAAGAAAAGAGGGAGCTAGTTCGTGAAATTGCACAGTGTTCAGAAGATGCACCAGAGATTCTTAGTTCTTTTAGCCGCAAAGAGCTTTTGGAAATTATCTGTGCTGAAATGGGTAAAGAAAGAAAATATAGTGGGTTTACCAAACTTAGAATGATACAGCACCTTCTAAATTTAATGTCTAAAAACATGAAGAGGAAAAATACTGATAATGATCTTGATTTATCTCTGGCCAAAAGTTCTAATGGAGCTAAGAAGCAGAGAAAAAATGAAAGCCCTGCACAACTACCCACCAACCAGGAATGTGTGCAAGGTGTAGGTTTAAACAAGAGTGAAGTAAAAACCTTATTATGTGAAAATCTAGCCTGCAGAGCTACTCTTAGTCAAAATGACGGTTTCTGTAAGAGGTGTTCTTGTTGTGTCTGTCATCACTATGATGATAATAAGGATCCAAGTCTTTGGTTGACCTGTGACTCTGATCCACCTAATGAGGGTGGTTCATGCGGGATGTCTTGTCATATAAAATGTGCACTGAAGCATGAAAGAAGTGGCATAATGAAGAATTGTAAGCATGGAAAAGTTGACGGGAGATTCTATTGTGTTTCTTGCGGAAAAATCAATGACCTTATGAGGTAAGAGCCCACTGAAAATTCCACTAAAATGTACAGGTTTCAGGTGCTTTTGGATCTTGAAGTTGGAATTACATCAAGATGCAAGATTATGCAAGCATAACATAGGAAAGTAAAGATTAACAAATTTTGTCCTATATAAATTCCATTCATCTACCTTGGTGATCTTATTTACCATTTGCAAACACTTCTTATTTTATGGCTTGTATGTGGTGGCAAAATCTTTTTTTTTTTTTCTTCTCCATTCTATCGATCTGTGCAACAGCTAATGTTAAGATATTTATTACAGTAAAGATCTTTTTGCCTTCATGTGTGCACTAGTATGTAGCATGAGTGATTGAAAGCTGCTCAGCTGAAACCCCTCTTCATGTTCTTGATTTTGGACCATTTGTTTCTGCCGGTATCCATGCATATTTATCTTTTGTATTTCATTGAGGCGTCCAAAATGACATGTTTCTATACTATAGTATGAAGTATTTTTCTACTTCTGTTGATTTATGCTGCTTGCTGTAAGATGTAGTGGCATGCCACATTATGTGAACAGATGCTACTAGGTGGTAAAATAAACGTTCATTAAACATTACACATATAGGAATAAGGTAACTAGTATATTCTCAGTATTTACCTGGAGAACATGAAACACTTTACAGCTTTTTAATTCTGCATTACTTACAGAATTTATATTCTGCACAGAGCAATGTTACTAGTTATTGATATAGTTATGTTGATGATTTTTGTTTGTGTTAAATGTCATTGACATCCAGCACATGGAGAAAGCAGCTGTTGGTTGTCAAGGAGGCTAGACGTGTTGATGTGCTATGTTTGCGAATCTCCTTGTGTCACAAGATCCTTGATGGAACTGAGCGATACAAGGATCTACATAAGCATGTGGATACTGCTGCAAAGAAACTTAAGAAGGAACTTGGGCCTCTTGATCGTGTATGTGAAAAAATGGGCCGAGGAATAGTTAACAGACTTGCTTGTGGTGCTGAGGTTCAGAAGCTATGCGCCTCTGCTTTGGATGCTTTTGATAACCAACCATATAAAACCTCTGTGAATCAAAAGAACACTCTGAGTAAGTCCTAAAAGGAAATTTTAAGCTAAATGTTTTTCATATTTTGTCCCAGATAAAAATATGTTTAAGAACTGTGTTATTTTACAAGCAAATGTTTGTGTAAAACCACTATAACTATAGTCTCACCCCCCAAAAAAAAGAGGTAAGCTAAACTTTTCACTTCATAAAACTAGTCACAGAAGTATTTCAAAAAAAATAAAAAACTTCATGCACGATATAGTATGCCACAAAGCTCTTTCAATATAAAACATATATAATAAAAATCACCTAGACTTGACTTCTTTTTTACTGAAATGATTTTAAGTGCTTAAGATTGATTGATTCAATGGAACCCTGGCGAGTTTACTGTTACCAAATGAAAGCACATTGTCAGTTTTCATATATACATCCTCTTCATCCTTGACCTTTTTATGTATCTAATATGGTTTTATAGCTAATCCATCTTGTTTCATACAGCATGTCAAATAAGCTTTGAAGAATCTTTCCCAACATCAGTAGTCATTGTATTGGACTATGATAATAGACTTCTTGAAGAGTTTTTGGGATGTCGGATATGGCATCGAAATTCTAACTTGAAGGATTACCCAGAAAAGCCCTCCTGTATTGTTCTTAGGCCGGAGAAGAAATTCAAGATTTGTGACCTTCAACCATGCACAGAATATGTATGTAGGGTTTCTCTGTTCAGTTGCACAGGTGTTTTTGGGACTTGGGAAGCAAAATGGGTAACTCCTCAATCAATTGGAACGTGTGCTCTAGTTTCCGATGAACATGATGGAATAATTGATGAGACCCCAAGGAATTTTTTTCAACCCTTTTCTGAATGCAACAATGCCAACAAGTCAGCTACAGTTGACCATACTGCAAAGCTTCGATCCCTTACTGACATCAATGCCACTCATATAGTGAACTTAGGATCAATCCCCACCACACCATCAAAAGTAGACACAAGGCAAGATTTAGTTGGCGCGAGCACCAAGATGCTTGAAGCATTGAATAGAAACTATGAATTCTGTGTTAGGGTGATCAAGAGTTTGGAGCAAGATGGTCACTTGAGCATAGATTTCAGGGTGAAATTTCTCACTTGGTATAGCTTGAAAGCCACGGTACAGGAGAGAAGAGTTGTCAGTGCATTTGTGGATACTATGTTAGATGACCCGCCATGCTTGGCTGAGCAACTAGTTGATGCCTTTGCTGATATAATTTGCAGCGAAAAATCCACTTCCACAGCATACATTCAGCCTTAAAATTACAATCCTTTTTACTCTATTCTATTCAACCAGAAAGAAGAAAGAAAAAAAAAATTAACTTATTTTAGGGTCTTTTAAGCAGGAAGATTGCTTTGTTAGTGTTTTGCTTTTGTCTAGAATCTAGATTGGCATTGATATTGGTATATGAGCAGAGATTTTAGATTCTGTTTTTCAGCAAAAGGCTTGTTTTCATCAAGTGGATATGATGAATACTCTAAATAGTGTATAGTTTGGAGGAATGCATTATTCCTTTTTTCAGGCTTTTCCACTGTCAATGTATTTGGTGCCCTGTTTTGAACTTTTCTGATGCACTTTATTTGAAATAAGTACTTCACCTTTGTCCTATTGTCCATAACAAATTAACAAGTACATCAATGTAATTCCCTCCAAAAAGAAAGAAAAAAAACAATCATTACAAATATACTACTTTTTCTATTTCTAAAAATTCGACTTATTTACTAATAACGCAGTCAAAATTAAATCATATTGACATTATTTTACACTTTATACTCCTTTTAAATATCTATCAAAATAAAATAGCATCTAGGCTTGTTGAATTTATATAAATATAAAATTTTAACTTTTAATATTTTCAAACACATTGGAGACATAACACAAGTCAAGTGAGTCAAACTTTCATATATATAGAGGAATGCCAAAAGTTGCAACGGTTGGTGGCTATTGTATTGGTGATAATTTGAGATTGGTGCAGTGGTCTAGTACTCTAGTGGACTTATTATCGCCATTGTAGACAGCCCCAGCTTACATTGGCTAAAGCAAGCACAACGGATTAAAGAATTTGGAGCACAAAGCTTAAAAATGCATCTTAGATCAGTGGAAACTAGAGAACTATAAAAAAAAAAAAAAAAAAAATTAAAAATTAAAAAAAAATACACATCTTTATCATTCAACTCATTTACTCATCAATGAGATCAGAACCATCATTGATAATTAACTGTTGCCACTAGCCAGCATTCTTCCAATAACTTTGAATGGTTAATGCATTAGATTTTCGTACATTGCTTATGCTAATTGTTACTGTATATTTATAAAAAAAAATTTAAAAAAATCTACTGAAAAATACAGTACGAGTACAGTTTATCAAATCCTATCTAGTAGGAGGAGCCAAACTCAACTACCAAGACACCCCTGTAAATGAAAAAATAAGAAAGCATTATAATATAGTGGCTGCTGCTTCTTCACCAGCTTCATCAAAAGATTCAGCTAAGTACTCAGCCAGGCTCCCACTCTCTTTTGAGTTGGATGAATCGAAAGAATTAAAGACCCGAGGTTTTTTTGCACAAGGAGTTTTTTGAAATGTCTGAGTTTTCTGAAAATAACCTCGGTTATTAGCGAAACTTTTAACCTCATTCTCCTTCTCCCCTTGCCAAATAACAGGCGTTAATGATGCCCAAGGGTCCTCCACCATGGACTTGTTGTAGAAAGACCGTGCTTGACCATAATCGTAGCTTCTTCCCCTTCCTCTTCCACCAGAATATCCTGAACTAGGACTCATCCTACTGCCATCCCATCGACCCCTCCCTCTTCCTACGTTAGGGCTAGGACCACCTCCACGTCCAGGACCAGGGCTGGGAGGCCAGGGACTATTGCTGGACCAGTGACCCCTTCCTCGAGGAGGAGATCTAAAATTAGGGCTACCTGCACATTCAATATTCATAGCCAACAATGAATAAAAATCATTCCTGAGAACAAATACAAGCAACCTCATACTTCATCAATGACCACAAAGTACCTTGATATGGAGGATAAGGGCTACCTCCACATGTACCAGGAGGACCAGGACTAGGATTATTATTAAACCAGTGACCCCTGCCAGGTGCAGCACCGAAGTTTGGACTACCTGCACATTCAATCTAGCTATAAGGGAGCTTGAAAAATTCTTCCACTGCATAAAATCAAATCTTTCAAAGAAATAGAAAGTGTATCCAAGACTTTTAAGGGGTACCTTGGTGCATAGGGTATGGGCTCCTAATCCCCATTGGACTTGAAGTCGGACCAGGTCTGCCTGGGTTATAATAGGGATCTCCACCTTGATACATACCCGGACGAGGAGCAACATTATGTTGGAATTGAGGGGCACCAGGATGCATTTGAGGATTCATTGGTCCTGTTAATTCCACGTAAAAAAACAATAAATCATTTTCATGCAGAAGATAACAATTTAACAGAACAGTTGGCTTAATAGCTTAATTGGAAGGAAAAAAACAATTTGATGGGGTTAAATGTCTCAGCAGATCCAAGCTCAACTATTTATCAGTGAAGACAATACTTTGACGGGATTCTTAGTTTTAAAAGGCGCAAATGGTCCTTGCAGCCTAGGCGCAAGGCGAAGGCACGCACCTTTTGTATGCAAGGCGCATGTATTTATATATTTATTTCAAATTATTTTTTACTTTGATTGTACTTAATACCAATTAAAAAGATTCATAATAAATGAAATAATAATTTTTCTTTTTTTTTTGAGGAAAATAAATTAAATAATGTTATATGTAAAGCTAAGGTAGTCTAAATTTGAAAAAATGTCCATCATTCTTTAATTTATAACTTAAATCTTAGTTATTTTCCTTGAGGCGCAAAGCGCTTTGAGGCACTGGGAGACCGAGGCACGCTTTTTAAAACCAAGACGGGATTAACTAGTGCATTATCAATGCAAAAGAAACTATGTACTCCCTAAGGATTTCGATGTCCAAATAACGACCTTTCCCAAAGAACAACCTTTCTTATACAGCTAACTACCCCATGATATTTTCCCTTGATAAGCTACTCCCAACGTACCAGTAATTTTTTACTGCCTTCACTTAAATCAGAAAACAATCACTTTGCTTGCAACTTAGGAGGTCGAAGAAAGCATATACAGACCACAACAGTATCCAAATCAACAAGTCCATCTAAATTAATTCGGGCCTAAGACTATACGGGAGTGGACAAATTCAACAAAATTCAACCTTTAAACGCATATTCGCAATGCATCACTATTAAAGAAGACGAATGCAAAAGATAATTGAACAATAACAAGTTGCACCTAATCATACAGCTAATCAGTAATCACTTCTTAAACCATCACTATGATTTAGCAATAGATTATTATCCCTTCTTTTTGCAAGAAGATATAATATTGAATTATTACAACCATACAAAATATAGCAACCCAATAAAAGTAACTAGTAAGATCAAATTATAACCCATCATTCATAGTTTCATACCCACCCAAATTCACAATTTCATCAACAACATCAAAAATCAGTAACAATAAACAAACAACAAACTTGCCAACAAATATACACCAATTTGATATAAAACCCATAATTATACATAATCAAGTAGAATTTCTAACCTTTCCCAGTTTCCCACATCCCTAATCCCCAATTTCATCAAAACCCAAGTAACCCATTTAAAAAAAATAATCAAAAAAGATAAAAAATTTACCTTGAGGAGAGGGCGAAACATGTGGTCTAGGAGTGAAAGGCCGCCGTTTGTCGGTGGAGTAAGCGGCCATTGGATCGGTGTAATAATCAAATCGCGGTGGAGGAGTAGCAGCTGCTGCGGCGGCGTTGGAATCTTCGTTATTGAGTAATGGTGCTGGTAAAATTGAATTTAGGGTTTGTTGAGGGAAAGATGATGGAACAGCATCAGTTGTTGCTTCTAATCGCATTGCTCTTAGTCTTTCTCTTCTCTTCTCTGATTCCTCCATCTTCAAGGAAGATGATGAAGATTTTTGGGGAAATTTTTAGGGATTTTTAGGGAAATTTTGGGGGGTTTTGAGTTTGGTTGATAAGAAGCTTAATTGATTGAGAAATTGGGGGTTTACGTCTTCACGAGTTCAATTAGGAATAGGAGAGGGAAAGTAGATTATACTCCGTACTTTTTTTCTTTTTTTTTTTCTTTCTTTCTTCTTTTTTTTTTTTTTTTGTTTTTAACAATAGATTTTACATTTTCTGTACAAAAATCCGTATATTTTTTTTTTTAAAACAAATTAATTTATTAATAAAAAAATCATCTACTCATAGAATAATAAATAAAATTTAAATTAGCAAATAAAAATTGTTTGAATAAAAAATCATATGACAAATACAAATGAAATATTTGATAATAAAATTACTTGTATGATGAGAAAAATACAAATGGTTTGAAGTTCACTTTTATCCGATCAATGTTATGTACTCCGTATAATGTTATGTATCAATTTAGTACAATTTGTTTAAAGTTCACATGCATTGTTTTATTTTGTGGACTACACCATATTATATAGGATGGCTTAAGGTGATCAAAATAACTTTGATCTCCTTTAAATTTTCATCATAGAACAACATTGAAAATGCTAATTACTACGTAGGGGTGTCCGTTCGGTTTTCGGTTTGGATTTAGTCCAAATCCGATCCAATCCGAAATATAATTTCGTTTTTAATTTTCTACCCGATCCGATCCGAATTTCTCTCTTGATCTAATCCGAATTAAAATTCGGTTATTTGGATCCGATCCGAAAATCCGAATTATAATACATTATTTTTTTAGCGCCTAATACAATTATAAAAATAAAGCTTTAATATAAATAAAAGTCTTCAAAATCATGATTAAAATAAATAGTTCAACGTCAAGTCATTAATTAATTAATACAAAGTCTCTCTAATTTATTTTATATAGTATTAAGTATTTGAGTTAAACTTCAAAATATACAGAAATCCATATTTATACAAGCTTAGGGCATGTTTGGCATCATTTTTGGTTTTCAGTTTCCTGTTTTTTTGAAAACTAAAAACCAAAAACAGAAAACAATAAAAAGGTGTTTCCACTTTTTTGTTGTCAGTTTTTAAAATTATTATAATTTTAATAAGTTTAAATAATTTTTGATTAATTATGTGACATAAATCATATACTTTTATACAACAAAAAACCAAAAAACAGAAAACCACAACAGTGTCAAACGAACCCTTAATTTTACAATTCGATTTTCGGTTTGGATTGGATCCAAGTAGGGTCAATCTGATCCAATCCGAAAATCCGAATTTCCAAAAAATCTCAATCCAATCCGATCCGATTTAAAGTTCAGATCCGATCCGAATTGATAATTCGGTTTGGATTGAATTGGATTTCGATTTTTATCCGAATTATGGACACCCCTATTACTACGTATGATATTATAAAATTTTGCCTAAACAAAGGCAAGTTCACAATTGTGAACATAAAAATTTTACTAGCTAATCCAGTGAGTTTCAAGTCTTCCAACTACCAATCCTAATCCCCATTATCCAACAATGGTTGGACCTATGTCCAAAGTATCATTTTACGAGTAAGTTTCAAGTATTTTATTCATTTAGGGTCTGTTTATATTTACTGAACTGAGCTGAACTGAATTGATTGGAGCTGAACTGAACTGAGCTGAAATGAATATTTTATAAAAGAGGGAAATTAGGAACTAAACTGAACTGAACTGGAGCTGAACTGAATTGAACTTAACTGAGCTGAAATTTAGTAAATGTGAACAGACTCTTATTAGACTTAAAATCCATCATTTTAGACTAATCTAAATCCCAAGCTTGGATTAGATTGCCCTTGGCAAAAGTCTAATCTAACCCATCATTAATTAGACATGGTAAAACTAATTATTACTCTATAATCAAATTAAACTCTACTTAAAATAAAAATTGACTTGAACCAATGTTAGATTGGCTTAAATTAAATCAACCCAACCCCATAATAATCCCAAACAGTTTTCCATCCCACACTCAACCACATAAAATATAACAAGTTCCAAACTCGATCCAAACAACCCAATTACTACCTTATAAGAATTTGACCAAATCCGGCATAGGCGTTGACCTTCTAGTACATCAATCTTTCTAGTACAGCAATCTAACCAACAATGAACCATTCAATCCCCCACCATTCCTCCAGTCAACATTTTCCAACCCATAAAGCAAGCCAAATTTGACTCACCATTTAACAAAATTCCCAATTCCTCTTTCCTTCCCCAAAAAACTCAATACCCAATTTCATCATCAATTCCAAATCTCAAACCTAACAATCAAAACAAACCCTAAAAAACCACAATCTCAAATCTTCAATCTTGAACAATGTCAATGTGGTGGGATATCTCTCTTCAAGCCCTAATCTTCTTGGTAAGCATCCTCACATACCTTTACACCAACAAAATCCCCCAAAAATTAATCACCCAATACCACTCCTACCACAACCGTCACAAACACCAAGCTCGCCGTCACTTCGTCAAAGCCGCCGATCACCTCTCCAAATCCAAATTCTCCGCCGCCGTCACCGAATCCGACGCCGCCGTCCTCCTCGACCCCACCGACGCCGCCAACCACATCATCAAAGCACTCGCGCTCGAACTCCAAGGGTTCAAGACCTCCTCGCTCGACGCGCTCAACGTCGCGCTCTCCCCCTCGCGGTTGCGTCGCTTGAGAAGGAGGAGAAGGCGGATGCGATGGTGAAGCGAGCTGGGTTGAGGATGGAGGTGAGTCGACTCAGTCGGGTTGATGATGAGGGTGGTGTTGATGAGGAGGTTTGGAGGATGGTGGAGAGAGAGTTGAGAGAAGCGCTGGAGTTGAGGAGAGAGAGTGGGAGAGCTTGGTGTTTGTTGGCGGAGTGTTGTGAGGGGTTGGGGAAACGAGAGGATGCGGTTGTAGCGTTTGAGGGAGCGGTTCGAGTTTCGCCTGACTCGGTTGTGGCTCGGAATGGGTTAGATCGGTTAAAATTAGTTACCGAGTAAATGATACGTGTCAACTAATATGAAAAGTTAGTTACTCGGGAAATGATAAGTGTCAACTATTATGAAAATTATTATTTATTTATTAATTTTTGTAGGTTGGAAATGTTGTATTAATTGAGTATTATTTTTGTATGGGTTTAATAGTGTAGTTTTTAACACAAACATTTAAATAAAACGGATGTTCATTAAATTACTGAACATCCATTATAAAGTGACAATAAAATGTGCAAAAGTTACAATTAAACGCACAAAAGTTACCCTGACATATATAAGTGTTATTTAGAGCACCTATAATGGTGGGGTGGTTCGCTATTTTCTCTTCCCTACTTTTCTCCCTCCACATCATATTTCACTATCTTGAGTTACTCTCTTAAGTCACTTCCTTAATGGTGATTAACCACACTACTCTCTCTCATACTTTTATCAATACCCCACCATAATTTACCGTTTTTATTCACAATATGGCAAAAAAAATTGAAAAGATAAGTTGAGCTTCACGTGGGCCGAGGCGTCAGGTGACCCGCCAGAGAGGGCATCCCCAACCTATGGGTTACCCATGAGTCACCTCCTACAATGGTGAGGTAGCTCAAATGGAGGAGAGAGAGAGTTGTGGGGAGGGTGCTCCCCACTATTGTGGTTGCTCTTATGCTTCATTGATAAATTTGACAAAAGTGACATTAAATTTGACAAAAGTGACACTAAAGCTGACAAAAGTGTACCTGATGTATAGTAAATTACTGAAAACCGGGTGTATACAAAAGTTTTCCAATTTTTAATGGGTTTTGAGCACATGAAAATAATGAAGTTGTTTATGTAAGATGTAATTTTCTTTTGAAAGCTAACCATATAATAAATGGCCACTAGCTAATTAATTTGGAGTTTCTAAGATGGGTGTTGTTGTATTATTACTTTAATCACGTCAAAAATCATTCCCATGAGCTAAATATCAATGGTGGAATATAAAATTCGAAATAAAATGCAATATGTGTTGCAGTTTAGAGACCAATAAAACAATGAATTTTCAGATATAAGGGTGTTATTGTGATATTTTATTAGGATAATCTTGTTTTTTTTAGTAATGTTTATGAAGTCAATCTATATATTATAAGTCCATAAATGCTCTAAGCCTCTGACCCATGATTTTTCAGGAAAAATACTAAAGGTAGCACGCTAGCACGTTGTGGTTCATGTTGTTGGTATAGCGGCTAATCGGCTATAGCCCATGGCATGAAACTGCTAACATTCCAACACAGCCCACCGTGACACATTGGTGCAAGCCAAGTCAAGTCGCAACACATTGGTGCGAACCAAGAGCGGGAAGGTGCTTATGCACAGCTCACAGCACACACAGTGTCCAAGACGAGCACAAGTCGGGCTTGAACAGGACTTTTTGCACAAGCGGAAACTTTGAGGTTATAAAACTAAACACAAGACACAACATTCAATACATTTAAGTACAATTTTCTTTTAAAAAAAATCCCATTCCTCATTTTCCAGTAAGAGTTGTTTTTAGATAGACTAATATCAACAACGCTAAACAATCGTTATATCATAATTCATAACAATAATATAGCACTAGATCGCTTGTTAAACCATGCATATTAGAAAAAGACCTTCATCTAAATATAGTTATCAAAAAGGGAATATGTAATACGGAATACTAAACAACTTACAAATTACTCTTACTACAGAAAAATTCAAATCGTTCTTGCAAAGCAATCTTAAATAGTCTCAAAATACAGCATTGCAATCAAATGAAAACAGAGTTGCTAGTTGGTCACCCATAAAAATCGGGTATCCATGAATAAAACTATCATCTTCTCAAAGTTATCATCTATGTAGACACTACAAAGTACAAAGTAATGCATCAATCACAATTCTCCGGCATTTACACTTTCAAGGATTGTTTTGCCTATGGACAAGGGTTGGACAAGCAACACCTTTCAAACAAAAAAACAAGAAAAGAAGGTAAAAACCCCAAGCTTTAGTGGAGATTATTTTGGTTGCCAAATCACAGAAAATCTTTAGCTTAAGTGAATTTCGAGCCATTTTCATTTATTCCCGATGCTTTTTAATTATGGTCCAGGTCCAGCCATTTGTATGAGCTGTGTAGGAGATTTCAGAAGCTTCTTTAACGTTTCAACTATTTTCTTGAAAGATGGTCGCTGACTTGGATCACTGCATGGTTAAACAAATTATGATGATTATTGGTCAAGATATTGTTGAGACAAACAAGCAATTGGATGAATCATAACGAGAATTCAAAACAAAAATGATTTCAGTCAAGGGACCTAGCATTCCAAAAAGATTTCAAAACAAAAATGCACATATTGCAGCAGGTTAGAAATCTTACTCTGCCCAGCATGCTTCCATGAGTGAAGCCAACAAAGGAGAGGTATTTGCTGGGATAGTGAGCCTCCTATTCTGAAAAGCAACAGCTCCGACCACCTGAAATAGTATCGTTGTGGGTATGTTCTCAGAATATAGATGGCAAATCCAAAAGCTTGAAGATAATATATGGTACAAATCAATAAACCAACCTGAGCTGGGCTAAGTCCATTCCATGGTTGTTGCATTGTCACCAGCTCCCATAAGATGACTCCAAAACTGTAAACATCTGATTTCTCGTTGGAAGGTTCTCCACGGAGAAACTCAGGGGCCATCCACTCAGGCTGAAACAAAATCAGTTATAATTCATTAATCAGGATTAGCAACTTAATACAGATAAAATTGAAAGGAAACCTTCCAAGTTCCACCAGGCAATGTCAAGCATTCAAACTATCATGTACAAGTATACTTTTGCAAAAGGAAAAGATGAGCATTTTTTAAGCATCTATATGTCAACCACAAAGTTATAAAGTACACGATAAGATTTTAGCCATTGTAAGGGTCAATATGTGTTTTAGCTTGATAACACCCATAAACCACCAAAAAAAAATTATGCCCAGTGGAATATGCCTTAGTAAGATCATAATTTTCATGCACAATGAATTATACAAGTACTCTATGATACAACACCAATGCATGAGACTTCTGAGTTCTCTGACAGAAGTAAAACGTATCGTCCAAGACAACATCATCGAAAAATAGTTTTCACTTAATTGCATCCTTTAATTGTTCCACAATACATATAAATCTCGTTTTCTTACTCATAATTCAAATTTGTAATTTGCTATAACTATCTACAATATACACAATCTCTTTTGGAATGACAAATTACAAGAGTTAATAATGGTAGAGGCTAGAAAAAGCTTACCGTTCCAGCAACAGACTTTGAAGAAATGAATGTGTGCGCTTTGAATCTGGACAAACCAAAATCACATACCTAGGAGAGGGCACAAAGCAAAATCAGACATGTGACTTCAACACCAAAATCTTAGAACCAGCCAGTAAATGGAAAATGTTCGAATGAGTAATCATACTTTCACTGTCCAATTCTTGTCAACCAGCAAGTTGGGAGATTTTAAATCCCAATGCACCACAGGAGGGCTAAGACAATGCAGATAATTAATCCCCTTGGCCTACATATAACATTTAATAGATAAAAAATTCAATCAATCTTTTGAAGAAGAAGAAAAGCCCAGAAAAGGAAGACCGGAAAAAAATAGTATCCAACAGTAAGTAGCACAAACCACATCCAATGCCATCCGTAATCTCCTCCTTTGATCCAAGACTTCACCAGAAGCTGGTCTGTGCAAAAGCCGGTAGAGGCTACCTCTGGTTTCCAATGAGACAAAATGATGAATATTTTATATATGCTCAGGTCTTCAAAACTTTATAATGTTTCAAAGTCTTACCTCGGCAGATATTCTGTCACTATGGATAGGTGAGGACGCTTGGTTACAGCACCCATAAAGAGAACCACATTGGGGTGACGGACACGTTTCATTATTGCAACCTTCACAGAAAAATTAACAGGGAGTTAAAGCTTGAAATTGCACAAATAGCTACTCTTCTTGATTAGTTAAGTGTATGTTAAACAAACATATGCATCAAGCTCTACACTAAGCAAAAACTGCTGGCTTTGGCTTGGAAACATATCTTATCGATATTACCGTTACCCTCACAAAAACTAGCATGTCCCTTCAGTTAATACTTAATACATAAACAAGAATATATGTACCTTTCTACATATACAGAAAATGACCTAAAGCAGGTTGCAATGTATTTGCATAACCAAATTTGGGAATGATGTATGTCTGTACCTCACGGAGGAACTCCTTCAATTGATCATCTTGAAAATCTTGGACAGTTAAAACCTTCACTGCGACATCCTATAACAAAGGAAGGATGGCAATTGTGAGAAAAATGGGATAAAAAAAGCGAAAGGCATCATATATTTACATCACTTCCATATATAGGTAATGTACTAAAGTATATGTTGATATGAGCTTGCTTCTTTATAATTAAAAGATCTCTAGAAGAATCACCTCGTGTGATAGGCAATTTAAAACATGTTTGCAACTACGGGGCGCAAAAATTACATCAAGAAATCAATCAGAATAATAATAAAATAAAGAGAGAAAAATATATGCAACCCTGAAACAAAAAAATCACTTACTGCATTCTTGCTTAGATATATGAATGAATTTTATGTATTTATGCAATAATATTAACAAAACAAGTATTGTTTTGAGTTTTGACTTCTTCAAAGAGATTATTTGACAGAAAATATCATTTGAGTACTCAAAAGATCCATGAGGCACAGGAAACTTGTTCAAAGAAATAGGTTTCATTTGAAAGATTTACAAAGAAATGATGTGATGACTGAACCATTTGAAAAAAAAGGCAACGTAAATACCATATAAATTACAATTATAAGACAGTAATCATGGGGATGAGGTACTAACCGATCCATGCCATTCAGCACGATGCACAGTCCCAAAAGAACCTGAAAAAAATCAGTCAAAAAACACAGCTCAGAAAGAATGCCATTTAATAATCCCACTAACAGCAAGACAGGAAAATAAGATATCCCCCCTCATCCTTCAAACAATGATAATAAATACTTCAAATCCAGGGGACAAGGACAATGAACACATACCAGCACCAACACGCTCTTTGAGATGTAAGTCATCCCAAGATATCTCCATCCAATCCATTGCAAGAGAAGGTTCAAGGTCCAAAAATCTGATAGCTGAAGCAGATAACATGCATTGTTGACCATCAACCTCCTGCACTACAGGCTGAACATTGTCAACTCTAGGTTGCTGCACAATCATGTCTGTCTTGTAATTTTGTTGTATATATTCTTCAACACTAAGGCTTGATACTGCTACAGGGCTGGCCAAAACTTTTGAAACTGTTTCGATGGCAAGCATATCAGATCTCTGAATGACTGGATTCTCAGCCTTTTCTAGCACCAAAGGCACCACAGATGATTTCATCCCTCTACAGCTTTCATCGAGAGGATTATATACATTTCTATTCCCTTCTTTGAGCAATTCACTTTCCTCATTGTGCCAACCTCCTCCATTGCCTGCAATCATCAAATTATAAATTATAAAACAATGGACATGTAGCTGATGATTGCTTAGGAACAACTTAACACTTCGTGCTGTAATTTGTTTACTACACATAACAAAATTACTATCCAAAATCCAGCCCTATAACAGAGATTAAAATAAAGTTTGGGCTATAAGTATTTCAATCACTAGAGTATATTCAGATTGCATCTCAATTCCTTTCATTCACAAACTTCAAACAAAATTATATACAATAAACACCACTATACCAGGATTTAGAAGACCAGACGAAGCACATGTGTGTTTTGGCATGGGTTTTTGGCTACAAGAGGGATTGTATACAAAATTCTGCTGAAATTCTTTGAGACGAGAAATCTGAAATGGTGAAGACAGTGATGTAAGCAGACCTCCATTGACTGATGAATCTGGACTGCGGACATTTCCCGGCTCACAAATCAAATCAACTACATATTCCCTGTTGGAAATTGCATCCATATAGAATAATCGAAAGGGACAAAAGGATTAGAATGCAAGAAAAGTTACAATCATCCCATTTTAAGATATTGACATTTGATCAGCACCTAACAGAAATTAGAATAACAATAAATACTATATGCAGATAAAGTTCAAAAAATGCATTAAAAAGGTTCTTATCTGAACTAGATTTGAAATGTATATACTGAAAGCTGAGAAATTAATGCTGCACAGCAGAAGAAACCAAACACATATATTCTAATTGCATATGCAAAGAATCCCATACCTTGGTAGCTGCCTGTCATCTTCAATTATAACAAGGCAAGATGACCGGTGATCTGCAGCACAATACCTACAACCTTGAGCAATCCTGCATGGCAATCCTACATAATCCGCTAATTTCTGCATAGAAGATATCACCATTAAATATAAGGTGGCAACCACAAAAAAAAAAAAAAAAAAAAATAAAAAAAATAAAAAAATAAAAAATAAAAAATAAAAATAGAGGTTTCATGTATAAAGTCTAATTAACATGAAAGTGTCTTGGGGGAAGAGAAACTTCTCACAAAGTTTCATTCAGCACCCCATTATTGATCATTCCACACTATGCAAAATAAGCCCTGATCACTAACAAACATAATCAGCTTTTATATAAACTCAATCGAGCAACTGTTCATATGGACTTATTCCAAAAGGTTGGACAGTTTGGACTTGATTCAGCTGAAAAAAGACATACAACTTTGCCAAGAACGCTATTCAGCAGAATACACATGACTCATGCTCCTTAAGATTTTCTCTGGTGGGGTAGCTAGTACCAAGGTCAATGCAGTCAATTATGTTTCTGGTTTTAGTTTAAGATTCCACCTACTCTCAAGTCATTTGTGGCATGTGTGAAGGGATAAGGTTATAAGCTATCTATTTTTCAGCTGGGAAAAGTGTACATCTACAATATAGTAAATGTGGTGCAAAAGCAAGGAACATAATATTTGGGGGGCTAAGGTTGATATCTTTAGACCTAGACCCAAAAGGTTAACAAATATCCTGGTACTCTGGTAGCATAATACGAAGTATTCATTAACCTTTCGAAAATGAGGAACTAGCCAGTAGGCACCCACATCCTTAATTATTCCCAACATCTATAGTGAAGTTAAATTTTACCATTACTAAACACGAAATAGTCTACTCTTTATGTTTTTCCAACTTTAATGATCACTCTAAGCCTGATAACAATATGTGGTACTTAATAATGTTTTTAGTTAGTATTCCTAAATTGTATTATATATGTAAAATTGAAAATTCCCAACATCTTAAAACCACATAACCAATCATACTCGGCTGACAGATAGATATTGGGTGAATATGAGGCTCACTAGCTCTAGATAATGCACAACCTACTTTAGAAATAGGTTTTGATGCTTTCTTGTTAATCCTCCTCCAAGAATAATTACTATGACAACAGTGATTTTAACCATAAAGGTACAGGAATTCATGCTTAACTTGTCCTTTAAATAGAACAAGTAATTTTTGTATTCTATGCCAAGTACCAATGCTTACAAGGAAAAACCGATTCTTGATACGCAGTTGATTATGTACATGAAACCTCCTTATCCAACAAACAAATTAATAAATTTCCTATCCCATAACTTAATACCGAAAAATTATTATTCTAAATTAAATGAATTGAAGATCAATACATAATTCATCCAAATCCTCTACAAACTGGGAGTTCCAAGATAATATGCTGTAAATTTAGATTGGTAATAATGGAAAACTTAATTACCTTAAAAAGAATTGCACGGTGCCTACAAAGCCCTGAAGAGAGACTACCAATGGGCAGTACTATGCACTTGTGAAGCTCCTTCAGTCTCTTACTAACCACTTTCCAGCGCATGTGGAGATCACCTTGTTCCACCGAAAAATTACCCCTAATGCCAAAAAAATGGGTTTTCAATATAAAGGTGCATGAACAGAACATAAAAACTAGTTTAAGGTGCTAAATGAGAAATCTACCCCATGTGAATGGAGACAAGTTTTCCGAGCTGCTCCACTAATACCAATGCATTTTGTGAAGTGCTGGATAGTTCTTGTGCTCTATCCTGCAGCTCCCTGAGTCTAGAATCACCATGTTTATCAACCATAACTACCTCCATTGATGTATCATGGGGTGAAATAGCTTTCAGCGACGCCAACGATGGAACCCCTTTAGCATCCTCAACATCATTGCACATCACCCAGACCTGAGGATTCATCCCCAATATATTGTAAAAGCCATCTGTTATCTTATCGTTATATGACAAGCACCCACTAACCTGCAAAATATCAACTGCACATAAGTCAAGAAGAATCAAAATATAGTTCTTAATAAACAAAGAGCAGGTCTAAAGCTACCAAACACATATCCTACCAGATAAATTTTTTTTAGCAGGCTAGTAAATTGGGGGTAAAAAAATAAAAAATAAAAAATAAAAAATAAACTATGAGTTCAGCAAAATCATGTGTATTAGATTGTATTCATTAAAAAATAAAAAAAAATAAAAAAAAAAATTGGAGGCACTTGCACCTTTTAGACAAATTTACATACCATTTATGCAGGAGAATGCATCTTTGTATAACACATTAACACCAAAAAATGGACCTACCTTAGAACAACATGAATACAGGATCATGTAGGGTAAACTCAAGCAACATCAATAATTTCTCACTGCAGCAGATCCATTCCATTTTTCAGTTCAATTTACATTATTGTGTATTTGGTGATCATCACAGTGAGTTGTCCGTATATATAGATATCCTGTTAAAAAAAAAAGTTTTGATTTCATGAATTTTGTCTTACTTGTCTCATTACTCCCATGTAACACTTTCTATTGCTCCTTGAAAAGACCCACTTACTAAAAATGGACAGGAGATGGACCCCATAACAACAATTGATGGTAGTCCATTTCACTTTCAACGCAACATAGGAACGTACCCATCTTTAACCCCTGATCATAATTTCATTGTCCCTCACCAAAATATCTGGATACACGCAACGGGGGGTCCATCCTCCATTGATAGATAAATGTTACAGTTACCCGTAAGGTAAATTACCCATTAGACATAGACAAAATAAATCTATTTAAACACTTTATCCATATTCTATATTTCTATTGTACGATATAGTACAAATCAATTGCATTTAGTAACGAAACAAAATTCAAACACAATAGGACTAAACGAGTAATATTCATACTCTATAAATGACGATCCATTTTTTGGATCATGAGTATCTCTCTTACCATCACACATTTATGAAAAGAAATCCTCGTGCCACAACTAGAGAGATGAGAGACTCATGATCCAATAACGAATCGTCAATAATGGTGGACCATACTTCCAATTGAATAAAACCCTGATTATGAAATGACATAAACATGAAAAATTAAGGATAAAGAAAAAGTACCCATAACCGATAAGACAGGGTTGCAACATCCGAACTCGACCCATGGCCCTCCACCCCTCCCTCAAACAAAAACATAGTGGGTTCATTCCCAAGATTTGCATGAGAAGCAAGCCTCTTCGTCAAGGTAAGCTGCAAATAATAACTCTCCCTTGCTTTATCCGCTAAACTCTGCTCCTTCTTGTCTCTCTCCTCCACCTCCTCCGCCACCTCCACGCCCACGACCTCCGTTATCGAGCTTCGAATCGTAGACCGAGTAGTCTCGTGAATCTCACTCGAGAAAAAACTCCCAGCTCCATAGCTACTCCCACAGCTCGAAAGCCGTGCCAACGACGAATCCCGGTACAACCCACAACTCTTCTCCCCTGGAACCACCGTCTCCGACTCCGGAGGCAATAACAGCTCCTGCTCATCATACGCCAACTTCGAACTCACAACATCACCACCACCACCTTTATTCTTGTTCTTCTTATTCTTCTTGTGATTGTCAGCTGCAATCCAGTTATAAAAGGCGGCCAACTTATTGCTCGTATTCGTCCCACTAGTAGAACGAGTGATATTATCAAATGTGTTAAAGTTGTTGGCGTAACTGTTACCCGTGAACTTCTTCACTAGCAGCTCTTTCGCATCACTTTCAGTGAACGAAGAGCTGCTGCTTTTGTTAACAACCTCGAATTCGTTGTTCTTTACTTGCGATTGTTGCTGGTTCTCGTGACGAAGATCTGTTGGAGTAGTTGCAGCTGTTGTAGTTGGTGCGACGGGTGTTTGTGGTGGGAAAGTACCCCGAGTATCAGGGAATTGCCGTGGGAAAAAGTAAGTCGCTCTGTGCGGCATCTTTTTCTTCTCTTTCCTTTTTCAAACTCACGGGAGAGGAGAGAGAAAATCACTGTTTCTCAATTTGGTAAATTGATCAAACCAGCTTTTTGTACCAAAAAAAATCTGAACCAAAAAAAACAAAAAAATTAATTTTAATTCAGTAAATTAACGGAGAACACAATATCATCGATGATATGTATTTAAAATGCAGAAAAATTATGAAAAAAACCAAAAAATTAGATAAAAATTTGTAGAAATATAATCAAGCTCAAATAACATGAAATATCAACATATATTGGAAACAAAATCCATAAAAATTGGAACTAATGTATTTCCCAATAGTAACATGTAAAAATGCAGAAAAAATCCACAAAATTTAATTATAAATTCGTAATAATATGATCAAGCTCAAATAACATGGAAAAAATCCATATAAATTGGAAAAAAAAAAAATACACAGAAATAGTAATTTTTAGTGAAAATCGTTAGTTGAAAGTGTTTTTTTGAAAATATTTCCTAAAAAATATGGTGGAAAAACTGAGAATGATGAACTGGAAGTAAAATGGAGAAGAAGTAAATACCGGAGGAAAATGCGGTCACGTCTTAGATAAGATAGCACGAATCATGATGAATTATCCAGTATCAAAAACTTTCGAAGCATTCACAACAATTAAGAGAGACGTTGAGACGTCTTAGAAACCTATAAATTAATACAGATCTTACTTAGATCGATGTAAATCAAGTAATACAGATCACGTCTTAGATAGAATAGCTCGAATCATCTTGATTAATGAGAGACGAATTTTGAGGCGTAAATAATCACTAAATATCGCATCAAAAATCACTAAAATTGATTTGAAAACCCTAGAATAAACGCAGAAATCATCAGTATGTAATAATTCAATCAGTTGTAGAATTTGCAGAAGATGAAGAATGAAGGTTGAAGAAGGTGGAAGAAGGAGTGTGTGGTTGTGTGAAAGGGAGAGGGTGGGAGAGGAGAGAGAAAATAGGGAGGAATTTTAATGGCGGTTTGTTTGAGTGTTGAGAATGGAGGAGAGAGAAAGAAGAGAGAGAAGGAAGACTGAGTGTGGGAGTTTTTATATTTTAAGGGAGGGAAGGTGGTGGCGTTGGTGTAATGTAATGTAATGTAATATTGTTATGTGACTTGTATGGGGACGTTATGTGTATCAACAACAAATGAGGAGGTTTCATATAATTTTTTATTATTATTATTATGGTTTTTTTGAAATAAAATTGGCAACTGGGTTTGGTATGTAGATTAATGTTATTTTTTTCGATTTTTAGGAATTGAAATTTGGAAATTAAAGGGAATAATTAGAGTAATTAGTAATTGATTATTGTTTTAATAAAAAAAAAAAAAGAGTAATTGATTAATGTACCTTTTTTTTTAGGAATTGATTATTGTATTATGAGTAATATATTTTGTTGTAAATGTAGCCCAACCAAGCTACATGCTTGATTGAAAAAAAGACAAATAATCTCCACTCATATTGTTACATGTGTATAACTATATATTATTTTTTAAAATTTTATTTTTTGCAAACTACAATATGTTGTGGCTTACCATTGGAACAATTTGTTGCTTAAAAAGTGTTGTAGCTTAGAACTTAATGTAGAAAAGCAAGCTACAAAGCATTGTAGCTTGCCATTGGAGATGCTTAGTTTTCACTTTTCAGCCTATGAAAATCATACTTTCACTATTTTTTAATAATTAGTACAAGATGCACTTTTCAGTTTTCACAGTATTTAAGAAAAATGAAGTTCGAATGATTTAATACACTTTATAATAGGGTGGGAGGTTGTTAATAATATAATTTAGTGGATCATGTGCTTTAAATAAGGAAAATAATATAACTTTTTTCCTGAAATAACTTTTCGATTATATTGTTTTGCAAGTATTGTGAATTTGTAATGACATTTTCGTTATAGGAAAATGTTGCAATTATTAAAAACGGGGGAAATATTTGATAGAATAAATGATAGATATTTGGTTATATACTTATACATGATAATATTATGTTAATGAAGGACATAATTTGTGGAAAAAACAAAAGGTTAAGTGGATGGTTGAAATTCAAGGATATGTTTTATACTCTATCAATATTTATAGGTTATTGATCATTTTACTAATAGCGGCCTTAGCGGGGATGGACAAAAAGGTGATAAAATTTGATGTTTTGAATAATTGTTTGTGGTAAAATAAAAATAAAAAATAATTGTTTACAGTTATTATTAAAGCGACAACAATAGTAGGTGGTAATTATCAATTTTTCATATTTAGTATAATTAAATTAAAAAGACATGAACCTGCATGACAACGACGAGCGAGTTTCTGATATTTGTTTTAGTTGTGTTTGACTAACTGTTTTAGCTATCATGTAAAACAACAACAAAAAGTAAAAACTATTTCAATTAGCTTATAAAATGAGCTGTTTTTCAAAGAGCTATTTAGACCCAAAATATTATTTCAATCAGCTATTTATCAAATACTCCAACTAGGTTTTTAAAATGGTCGGATAATCCTTTTTGTTACAAAAAGCTCTTAACCAAACATCCTCGTAACTAAAAAAAATAAAATAAAAAGAAAACGATTTTCATAAATAGGTGGAAACTTAGACCCTCGTTGTTTAGTCCAAGTAGGATGAGGAAGCTAAGCAGCATGGTTACTTAACACACATAAGTTAGGCCCTGTTATCAGATCATAAGATTATTTTCTTTTCAGTCCAGTTCAGTTCAACTCGAATAATCTTAGTTCAGTTTAGTCAATATATTCATCATTTCAGCTCTGTTCAATTCAGGTCTAATAAGTTCAATTCAGGTCTAATAAGTTCAATTCAATTCAACTCATTTCAATCAATGAGAACAAACCCTTAATGAATGTGCCTGAATTACACAATAGTTACTAACTTACTACAATAATTCAGTTGTAATTTTGTAAGATAATTTTGTTTATAGTAATTATGGGTTTGTTTTTTCAGCTTTTTCAGTTCAATTCAGTTTTTAATTTCCTTCTCTCATAAGTAATTTAGTTTTTAAAGCTCAATTCAGTATATTAAAACAGGCCCTACTTGTATGTTTCAAAGCGGTGGACAATAACCAATGATAATTTGTTGTTTTGTATCCATCTTTTTTTATTGGGATAGTTATTTACTTTCAAATTTCGAAGAGGTAAAGTTGAAAATCATAAAATAAACTAAAATACTTGAATAAACTAATTAGGGGGGAGTACTACAACAACTACTGCTTTTGTACTGCAAATCTGCAATCGGATTCCTCATTGTTTAGTGTTTTTTTTAACGTACGAAAGAAATTATTTTTGTCAAGAATGCATCCTTATTGGGAAATTGCAAGAATGTGGTCCTACACTCCTACTCCTACCATCTGACGTTTTTTGTCCTTTTTTTTTTTTGTGATAATTTGCCTTTTCGGGTTTTATTTACTTGTTTTAGAAACTAGGTTAGAACCCGTGATATAAAGCTTATTTTTAATTTATATATTATAAAAATAAATTGTTATTATACATGAATATAAATAAGAATTAAGTCATTTTGTAATTTTAAATTTTTTATTTTAATCAAAATTATGCATATAGTATCAATTTAAAGTTGTCTAATTTATACTTCAATGTAGGAGGTCATTTATTAGTGTGCTATTTAAAATTGTTTTAATTTCCTACGATAAATTGATAGATTTTAGTTGTAATGTAGAAACTTCTAATATTTAATTTTCAAAAATGTTAAATATGATGGCTTTCAAAAAAAATAAAATAAATAACATCATCATTGCATTTAGGCGGGAAATTTTTTATTGAGAAAGCGACACGTGGGCAATGGTGATGTCATCAAGTTTTGTTTTAGTAATAGTTAATAGATTTAATGATTTGCGAGTAATTAGTCTTTGTTTTTTGTTAATTTTTTTTTTAAAAAAAACAGATAATTGAAGGGAAAAAAACTATATATGCTGCGTATAACAAGCTAAAAATGAAAAATTGATAATAAATAATCATTTATTACACCGATTTACTCGTGAATTTTTTATAAATTCCCAAATTAATACTAAAAAAGGAAGTATATTAAATGTTTATATGCAGCCCTAAGCATTACCCAAAAAAACGTTGTCAAACATTCGTATTTATTTTACATTTCTTCAAGCTAATCGTTATGAGTTAATCATTTAATTGTTATTAATATATTTAATTATCATTATTATATTTAATTATTATTATTATTATTATTATATATATTAGAGGGAATTATAAAAGTTTGACTATAAAAATAAAAATAAAGACTATGTTATGAAACGAATGGAGCATTTATCAAATTTATGAATGATCTTGTGCATTTGTAGTTCACATTCCATAAATAATAAACCTAGTTTCTAAATCTGTACTCTGTAAATGTTACTTCGTAATATGTATTGTCTTTTTTTAAAAAATAAAAAAAAATTTACAACTATATCCCTCCATTTTAATTTGTTAGTCCTATTTTCTATTTTAGGCGTTTTAAAAAAAAATTACTCGTATTGAATATATTCTAAGCTTATAAATTGAAAGTAGATTGATGACATGACTATAAGTAAGGAAATCCCTCACTTGAATTATGACTGATGCTTTCTTAGAAGAAAAAAAATCATAACTTTAAATAAGGCAAATTATTATGAATTGTTATTATTGTATTTTAATGTTATATTCTAAATATTATTATTTTATTTTACGTGATTGATTCCAGATGAGACTATTATATCATTAATATGAAAAACGGAGGGAGTATAAGTTAATACAGTAATTGTATTACAAGGTGTTTTTTTTTTTTGGGGGGGGGGGGTTTGAATGAAGAAGTAATTGTTTAATTGAAAACATAAATGAAGGGAATGAAGTCTGAAGCTTGAAACATGAAACCATAAATTTTCTTATGGTTTTGCAAGTTGTTACTAGCATACCTCAAAATAAGATCAAATTGTGATTAAAACAATTGATAAAATTATGTTGGTCAAACTGGTAATTTTTTTCCCAAAACTTATGACTCCTATACTTCAAAATAAGATCAAATTGTGATTAAAAAAATAAATAAAAAAATTGATAAAATTAAGTTAGTCAAGCGGTATTTTTTTTTTTCCCAAAACTTACTATCCTATATTTCAAAATAAGATCAAGTTGTGATTAAAAAATTGATAAAATTACGTTGGTCAAACCGATTTCAGCTTAATTTTTGTTCAGTTTAGTTTCCAATTTTTGTCTCTTATAAACAGTTCAGTTCAGTTCAGTAAATTAGATAGACCCTAACTACTCTATATATCAAAATAAGATGAAATTGTGATAAAAAAAAATAAAATAAATAAATAACAATGGGATAATATGGAGTACAAAATAGCGGCGATGTCATGTCATGCATGATGCACAACTCCAATATCCAAATTAAACCATTTCCTTAGTACAATACTTCGTATAAGGAAAAACTTACCACAAATTCGTTTGGCTATCGTCATACACCAAATATCGTTGGTGCACTATACTTTATTCCACATTAAAGATACTATGTACGAACAAGCTAATCTAGGAGGAACAATAATAAAAAGAAGTTAAACATATACTTGTGTTGGAATTCTTAATTTGCCGTTTGGCAATATTTTATTAATGAAATCCTTTTTTTTCTTGTAAAAAAAAAAAGAAAAAAAAAGTTAAACATACTTAATTATATAACGTTATACCACGTATATTATTATGCTATAGTCTATAACTATGTTACTTATTAAGAGGTTGTCAATTACGTTACGTGAATACGTACTTATTTTGTTGAGACTATCATCGATCTACTGCATGATATTACATGCATGCACTCGGGTAAGAAGAATTAAATCAAAGACTAGCATCTGAAAAAGGTAAGGAGTTTCATCTATTAATCTTAAGATCAGATCAAAAGATGCTATTTCTATACAATAATAACCCTAGCTAGCTAGAATAACTAATTAAGGTAAGTTAATTATCACTTGTTTAAATTGGCCAATTAATAGAATTCTGATGACTATGTTGTCTCATATATATAAAAACAAAAAATGATGAAAACTTAAAAGAATTTTATAAAAAAAACTGAATAATTAAATTGAATAAAAATAGTTGCAATGAGTTGTGGTCCTAATCATTTCCAAATGTGGTTTTCGTATAAATAAATTAGTACTAAATCACCATAATCTAGGAACTTCATCACATCGAGAAGTAATAGATCATAGCTGGAGTTTCTTTTTTGACCAAATAGTCTTCGACTCGTGGTCCAATTTTTTAAATAATTATGTAAAGTACCCAATTAGTTTAATTAACTTTTAATTAGTTTTATAATATGAGTCATTCTGCATTGTCATTTATCTGATCATTGTCATTTAGGCTTCATAACCTATCTATCAAGTATTGCTTATTCTGGTTCGAATATGATCGTAGTAGACCACATCAGAAAAATTCAAGTGAAGGTTTATTGAATACTAAATTTCTATCATCCCTTCATCAAGCTTCTGTCATTATGTGACGAAAATGTGTGATTCCAAGTTATATATTGTCATGGCTTTATTGCCTCTGTGATGCAGAATGGACTCCGCAAAGGATCTAACTCTTTAGCTGAGGCACGCGCTGCTGGGTTCAGTGAAGAGAATAAAACTTTGTGATGCTGCTGATTTCTGACTCTAGCGTGGAAGTTTTATTTTCTCACATTTCTCAATTGCATATTTGAATTAGTTCTCTGTTATTTATGAACTTGTAGTGGAAATCGTATCCGTAGTTTCAGCTGAATGTTTAATGATGGTTAGATTAACTTTACCCTTTCCTCTAGCCTTTGAGTCATTGCATTTTTATTGCTGTGATGGTGAAGTTGAAATTGCTTCTAATGCTTTACCCCCTGAATTAGATAAACTTTATACTTCTAATGACGATGATTCGGATCATTTTCGGACATATTCTCGCCTTTACAATAACCTCTTTGCTTTTAGCTCAATTGGTGGATCAATGGATGGGGATATTCATAAAGGAATATATGCTTTGAAGGTTCATGGCCAAATTTATCATAATATTCCTGACCTCTTGCCTGATAATGAACCACCACAATATTTACAGCTTTACTTCTACGATGCTATGTTTGAGGCAGAAAATAGACATCGTCTTTTTCCAAACTTACGTCCGAGTATAACTTCCTTGATCATGGCTATTATGCTTTTGAATCCATATGCCAGGTTTTTCAAGTCTCTTCGGGAGACTGAAGTCACTGAAGAGACTGAAATCAGGCTCAATAAACACCCCGTTCTTGATCAACGTGTTTACAATGCTCCTACATCCGAAGAAGTAGCTGTGATATGGAGTGAAGGTACTTCATCTAGCCAAAGCAACAGCCCACATATCATTGTTCATGGGAAATCAAACAAGAGCCATAGGATATATCATTATTATGGCTGTTACGATCCTCTACAATACCCGCTTCTATTTCCTCGAGGTGACTGTGGGTGGCATCACGGTTTACTAAAAATGTCTCACGGAGGACGGTCCCAGGTGGAAGACCTTTCAAATATTGTCATTTCAGACAATGTTCAAGAGGCAGCTGATTTGGTAACTGAAGAAGGTTCTGGTAAGACAACTAATTGTGACTACTTACACCAAAAACATGTTATTTCATTTATGTCATTCCCGTATTAATCATGTAAATGTAACTACTTTTATAAAAACAAATGGAATTGCAGCTGCTGCTCGGGGGAAGAAGGGCAAGCTTATTTCTTGCAGGGAGTACTATGCATACAAGTTTCAAATGCGTGCTGGAAATTTCATCCTACGGGCTAGGCGACCCACACCCCGCTACATAACAAATACCTAGCTACATATTAACAGAGAACTGATGCATTTTCATAAATCGCAGGCTGCAAACACAATGCAAGAAGAACGCCATTGGATACAAGCCACTATCCCTGATGCTCAGTTGGAAAATCTGCTTGCTTACCTAGGATGTAACAACTGTGGAAAGCGCTGCCAAGAAGCAAAGGACGCAACTTTCAAATGCCTCCACTGCTAAAAAAAAAACAGTACTGCCGCAGTCAGGTAAGAATCAATTCAAATCAACAAATGCAACAACTACAATAACCAAAATACTAATGTCCCTTTACACACAGGGTAAATTTCACAATCGATGTGAGTGACGCCACTGGGACACTAAGACTCACTGCTTTTGCTGAAGACTGTGAAAAACTCATTGGTCTCCCTACTTCAGAGATATATGAGAAGAAAATGGCGGTAAGAACGGAAAAAAAAGGGGGAAAGGCCATATAATTCGAATAAAAACTCAACAAAAACAATCCTTCGAATCCCGCTTTCTGATTTTATTTTGTGCATTATTGGGCAGGGTAATTGGCCAGAATTTGAAGATATAGCTAGCAACCTAAAGGTGAGGACCATCAAATTCCAAATAGCACCAACAACTTCTCTAACTAGAATCGGGGTGCTCAAATGGGCTATCAAAGACGTTGAGATTTGACGACAAATGAAAGTGCTGCAACAAAAAACAAGAAGTAGTCGTTTGTCCTAAAACGACACCTTATTGAAATTATGTGCCATGTAAGAACTCTTTTATTGAAATCAAATAATAAATGGCAAGTTTAAAGATCATTGCACCACTCCAATTGATAGTCACAACACCAACTCATTGCAATTACAAATTTCATTTACTGTACATTTCAAGATAATAGCACCACTCCAATATGATAGCCACGTAAATCACAATTCCCTTTACAAAACAACAGCCCACAAACAACTCAAATAAAAAATAATTAACCCAAAAAACAACTACCATAACCTCATAAACAAAACACAATCTAAACAAAAAAGGCAAACCGCTCCGCGCGCATTGGCTCCCCTAGTAAAAGTAAAATTGAAAATGCGGGATTTGTTTGGTATTATTTTTATTTTTAAGTTTTCTAATTTTTTTTAAAACTAAAAACCAAAACAGCAAACAAGCGAAAGGTGTTTACACTTTTCTGTTATCAGTTTCAAAATTATCATGATTTTAATAAGTCTAAATATTTTTTGATTTTTTATGTGACATATATCATATACTTTTGAAAAACAAAAAACCAAAAAGAGAAATTAAAACCACAGCAATGTCAAACAAACCCGAAGTTTATTAGTTCAGGCCGGATGTAAATCATATATATATTAATTAAAATCAATTATTAATAAAATCATAAAACTATAGTAAAAATCGTGATGAATCTAACAGCCCATGACTAAACATATATTAAGTAAGTATAAGATTCTATTTGTATTAGAATCTTCTAATAAGCTTCCAAATGAGAGAAACAAAATAAAATGGAGGGAATAGTATTAATAACAATTAGAAATTAATTTTATTATTCCACAAAAATTAATAATATAATTGTAAACCCAAATTTTAAATCTGTAAAATATAAATTCAAAATAAATGAAACAAAGTGTTATTTTTATTAATTTGATAATTTTGGGTACAATCTCTAATTTGATCCTCTGATTCGATCTCCACTTTGACTTTGACGTAATTAAAAGATTATTGGCTTGATTCTCAAATGAGGGCCGTCGAGGCTTGATCTCGATCGAAGATTTGATGTAGACCTTTGACTTATTGTTGACGTAGACCTTTGACTTAAATTCTTGATTGAGGGTCAAAGAGGCTTGATCTCGATTAATGAATATTTGATGTAGAGTTTAAACAAATGTATGTTCTTGATGATTTGAATTCCTTCTTTATTCCGTGTTGAGGACCGTCGAGGCTTGATCTCTTTCACGGGTGATCTTCTAGAGTAGAACGACACGTCGAATGCTTGTTGTTCTTTTAGGTTTGAGATGTTTTCTCTAAAATTGTTCAGAGTATTTCTTCAGAGGTTTTCTTTGGAGATAGGTTTAGAGTGTTTGAGAGGTTTCTTTGAAAAGGTTATTTGAGAGGTTTTCTCTGTATTTTGATCTCCTTGTTTACTCTAGGTTTTTTATTTTCTCTCTCTCCCAAATGAAGTAGAGAGAACTCTATTTATAAAGTGAGGCACCTCTAGGGCTAGGGTTTGATGTCCGATCTATTGGATGTTGGGCTTGCTTGATTATTATAACCCATTTTTAATGGATTTTAACTATTAAATAAACAATTTAATTAAAATAACTAAAATGAGAAAATTTAATTTATTTACCCAATTTAATTCATTTGAATTAATAGTCAAATTAGCATCAAGTCAATAAATTGACTTTTGACCCATATAATATCCAACGTGGCACTTATATAAATTTTCCGTGCCTACAATAATAATATACCTTAATTCAAATCTTGATTATCTTACAAAATAATCTAAATCAAATTAGATAATAATAAAATAAAGAAAGTTTCCACAGAAAAAAAAGGTTTAAATCTATAATTCTGCAAAAAAATTTATCGTTGTATATTAATTAATTCAGTGATAGAAAGGGTGAAACTCCTTGAAAGAAAGACTGATCTCCGTCTCGAACGACTTCGCTACGCTCGATTCTTGATTGAGCGTGGATCTCCGGGTATGGATGACGAATTGGCTTTGCAATATTCCTCTCTCAGACTGGAAGAGGAAGATGGTGATTTGATAGATGCGGGTGACATTAAATGTTCGGAATCGAATGATAAAATCGATCTGCTGCTTGTGGGTAGGCTGTGTACTGAGCGTCCGTATAATGTCGAAGCTTTCAAGCGGACAATGATGAAGGTGTGGTCTCCCTCACACGATTTAATTATCCGGGTAATTAGCCCTAATCTCTATGCTTTTCAGTTTTTTCATTGGAGGGATAAAGAGAAAGTGTTAAAGGGAAGGCCATGGTGTTGGGAAAATAATCTGATTATCCTAAGTGAGATTGACGGCAATGAACAGTCGGACAAGGTGAAGCTTACACATTCGCCATTCTGGGTGAGGGTGTTAAATTTACCGTTTAATTGTAGGACTGATGCTTATGCAAAAGCCCTAACTTCGAATTTGGGGGAGTTTATGGAATTTGAGGAGGACAAACTAGGCTTGAATAGATATCGTCGGGTGCGGGTCAGATTGATGTTCAAAAACCGTTGCGTCGATATCAATGGATGAAGGACAAGAAGGGGGAGAAGGTGAAAGTTGAATTTAAGTACGAGAGACTTCCCTTCTTCTGCTTTGCGTGTGGTACAATAGGTCACTCCGAAAGAGATTGTGTAGCTATCTCAGAGGATGAAAAGTCGAGAAAACTGGGTGGGGCACTTTTCTGAAAGCCTCACCGAGGAGGGGCTTTAGCAAGATGAGTGACGAGGTAGTCCAGATTACTCAGAGTAGGCGCCAATTATTTGTGACTAAGGACAAAGATGAGGTGAAGGAAGGCTCAAGTATTAAGGATGTACATGGAGATGGTGGGATCCTAAGTCTGCAGGGGTTGACTGATGGGAAGGGGACTTTGGGATTGGTGGAAAATGAGAATATTGTGGGTCAAAAAAGTACAGGGAATTTTGTTGATGTTGACTCCAATGATGAGTGCACTAATTCTGATGATAACATTTTAAATAAGGTGAGTGGAGAAATTGTAAGTGGTATTGGTGGGCAGTATAGTACTCAATTGTCAGATTCTTGTCCCCCAAATGTGCATGATCAGGCTATGTCTGATAATTCTGAGCCATTACAAAAATTGTCCTTTTCACTGGGAAGAACTGGCGCTAAGGTCCAAAATAATAAGAAGAAATATAGGGTATGCAAATCTGCGAAGCAGGGGAGTGGGAAAGAGGGGCTGGAGGGACAGTGTGCTGGGTATGGTGGGGGATATGATGGAGGAGGATGTAGAACATTCTTATAAAATTTTGGGAGATGGAAAGAGAAAAGCGATGATGCAGATTGATGGGAAGGAGATGGGAGAGGAGGGGGATGGAATGAAAAAATTGAGAAGCTCTTGTGATACCTCGGGTTGGGTGAATTCAACTCAAGTAGCGGCGGTTGGTATTGACCAACACCGCGAAGGACAATGAAAATCCTTGCTTGGAACTGCAATGGGCTTGGCAACCCATTGACAGTGAGAGCCCTCCAAGATTGGTGTTGGAGGGATAGGCCGGAGTTGGTTTTTGTGTCGGAGTCAAAGATTGATGCTCACCGCTTGGAAGTTATTCGAAATCGTTGTGGTTTTGTAAATGGGTTATGCTTGAGTAGTTCTGGGAGGTCGGGTGGACTTGGTTTATGGTGGAGGGATCTAAATGTGTCGGTGTGTTCTTTTTCGGATCATCACATTGAAGTTAATGTTTGCAATAGCGACAACAACCCTATGTGGAAGGCTGTTGGAGTATATGGCTGGGCAACGACGGAGTGCAAATATATGACGTGGGATTTTTTGAGAAATCTGAAGAGGGGGTCAACGATCCCTATGCTTTGCTTCGGGGACTTCAATGAGATCCTTGGGATGAATAAGAAGAGTGGTGGTGTGGTGAGGGAGGAAAGATTGATGGATGATTTTAGAAGTGCTCTTGACGATTGTGGGTTTAGGGACCTTGGCTTCAAAGGCAATATATATACTTGGCAACGGGGAAACACGATGGAGGTGCTTGTGAGAGAAAGATTGGATAGATTCGTGGCTGATTCGGGTTGGTGCTCGTTGTTTCAATGCTCGGAAGTGCTCCATCTTCCATTGTGTCACTCGGATCATGCCCCTATCCTTCTCAAATACGGGGAGAGTAATGAGCTCGATAGGAAGAAGAAGTTGTTCAGGTTCGAGGCGTTATGGTTGTCAAGCGAAGAATGCCATAATGTGGTTGATGAGCCGTGGGCTGCAGGTGTGAATTCGAATATTGATGATCGTATTTTGGGGTTGGAGGAGAGACTTACGGCGTGGGCAGGTAGGACTTTTGGTAGCTTGAAGAATAAAATCAAAAAAGCTGAAGGTAAATTGTGAGTCTTGCAAAGTGGCAGAATGGACTCAAACTCTTTACAACAATGTCACGTGGTTAGTAGCGAGTTATATGAGCTTCGTCGCATGGAGGAGTCCTATTGGTTTGCTAGATCGAGGTCAAATGAGCTGCGAGACGGGGACAAAAATACAAAGTATTTTCATCATAAAGCAAGCCAAAGGAGGAAGAAAAATACCATTGTGGGGCTCTTTAATGATGCTGGGGTATGTTAGACTTCTAAGCATGCTATGGATGGGATTAGTGCTCGTTATTTTGACACTCTTTTTACTTCCGATCACCCGGTTGAGTTTGAGGCAGCATTAGGTGGTATTGAGTCTCTTGTTTTGGAGGAGATGAATTTGGAACTTGATAAAGAGCCGACGGGAGAGGAAATAAAAAATGCCCTCTTTCAAATGCACCTAATAAGGCGCCGGGACCAGACGGGTTACATGCACTATTTTTCCAAAAATTTTGGAATATAGTGGGGAGAGATGTGATCGGATTTGTGAAGGCTTGGTGGCGTGGAGATGTGGATTTGGTAAGGGTTAATCAAACTTGCATTGTTCTAATCCCAAAATGTGATGACCCGAAAAATATGACAGAGTTTAGGCCTATTAGTTTGTGCAATGTTTTGTACAAAATTATTTCTAAAACTCTTGCTAATAAATTAAAACCCATGCTTGGTTCGATTATCTCGATAAACCAGAGTGCTTTTGTTCCTAATAGGCTTATTTCGGATAATGCTTTGGTTGCTTTTGAAATTTTTCACTCTATGAAGAGAAAAGGGGAAGGCCGAGATGGTTCGATTGCGCTCAAGTTGGACATGAGTAAGGCCTATGATAGGGTAGAGTGGAGATTTCTGGAGAAAGTTATGCTTAGGATGGGTTTTCGAATAGCTTGGGTGGAAAGGATTATGCAGTGCTTAGAGAGTGTTTCTTTCTCTTTCAAGTACAATGGTGCTATTTCTGGGTCTTTGGTTCCTACTAGGGGTCTTCGTCGGGGGGATCCTATTTCTCCGTATCTGTTTTTAATCTGTGCTGAGGCTTTCTCTACTCTCCTCTCCAAGGCGGCTAGGGAGAATGTGATACATGGGGCTCGGGTATGTCGTGGGGCTCCTAGAGTGTCGCATTTATTTTTTGCTGATGAC